TGTTGTATGTAGTTGCTTGCTTATTGGTTATGGCAGTAAAAACAAGCCAGCTGTCGCTTGGGGTTTTTTTTCTCATACTTTAAATGTAACTAAATTATAAAAATGAATTTATAGGGAGCTTTCAAGGGCTTTTTGTTTGGCTTTTGGTTTGTTTTCCCCTTAGATCCTAATGAAGGTGTTAATTTTTTCTTGGCTTTTGCTTGCCAGCTAGGCTCTGATCCTTTATAAGCCCTCCTGTGAATGCATCTAAGACCTGGTAAATGAGCAGGCTCTGCTTTCTGACATCATCACACACTTGAACCTGATTGCCAGTGAAACGTGAAGGTGAATCCTTTCTAGATGCCCAGCTATCTATTTGGCAGCCTTCAGCATTTGAGCATCTCATGGTCATTGTCATGAGCATTTTGCAACTGGGGGGATCCAGAGTGGAGACTAGAAGTGATGACTAACAGAATACTCCAGAGGGAATCTGACACAACACGGGCAACTTGATCCTGAAATCTCAGGGCATGCACGCCTGAGCAGCCTGCCACAGCCCCATAGCCTCACAGCACGTTAGTGGTCGAAGGGCATGCTCTTACCTTGCAGAAATTGTAAGGTAGTTTCTCCCCACTGAAAGAGGCTGCAGTGCAAGCTCATGGAGCTTATTTGTGTGCCTGTAGCCTTGGTCTTTGCCTAGCAGTCTTACCATTGAGCTGTCTCACGGTGGTATCGCTGCTGCAATAGGCACTTGGATGTCTTGGTCATTGTTAAAGTTTATTTGTGCAAAAGAGCTCTTCCAAATCCAACACAGGGACGTTAATCCATCATTTTGTTGTTTGTGTATGTTACGTACTCTTGCCATTATGGAAGAAAAAAACCCAACCCAAAGGAATCCAACATCCCCTTTTGCTTTTCTTGGCACTGGGAGGAAGTGTGCTTCTGGGAATCTGTCTCCAAATTACAAAGCCATTAATCACAAAACAATACCCATGGCTAATTTTTGATGAAGGCTTGGTATTCAGAGCTTGCTTTAGCTGTCAGCAACATATTCCATCCTTTTAAGCTGCTGAAATATGGACTATATGATGCCAGTGGCAAATGAATATAGATTGAACAGGTAGAATCAAACAGTATCTGCGAGGAAAAGCCTGTAATGTTTTTGTACAAGTACTATAAATGTGTACAACTGAATATGCAACTTCCCTGTATGTGGTACCTGTTTCCAGAAGCTTTTAAAGCACATTTCAAACTCACAGTGATGCTAATGCAGTTAATTTATTTTTTTTTCCTAAAAAAAATAAACAAGGGTGTTGGTCACTCTGAAATCCAAATTTCTTTGCATTTTAAAGGACATAAGTAATTTGATTTTAGCCAAATTTAAATGTCTTATTTGCCTGAAGTAAATAATCTAATTTTCTTTCTTTCATTTTAATTTGAGAACAAAAGAGAGTGATTCACAAGGGAATTTAGCTGCCATTTACAAGCAGTACAGATGAAGACGACTTACCTTGTACCTGTCTTCTTTACATGGCATTCATCTCAGGTGCCAGAATTCACTCTCATAATTCACTCTGCTTTCCTCAGTTTGGAATCAAAGTTAGACACCTTTTTTTTTGTGAGGAGCATGCCTTCGTCACTGGGCTGTAGAGTTTTGGAGATGGCTCTTTCGCTTTCTTGTGTTTAATGTTATTAATTTTGTATTCATTGAACCAGAGAGGACAGGAAAGACTTTATAGCCCATTAGTTCTATATTTCATATAATTAATTTGATCCAAACTATGGATTAATTATTGGCAGGGTTGGCCAAAAACTTTGCTTGTCTGGAACCACATATTAAACTATGTAAAACTGTGGAAAAAAAAAAAACAAAACACAACAAACCTTTTGCTTGTCTGGAAGCACATATTAAACTATGTAAAACTGTGTAAAGACAAAATCCCCATAACAAACCAAATCCTCATAAACAGGAAAGCCCCATTGCTAGGTAAATAACCAACATATGAAAGTTTACACACCTCTACTCCCAGGAATGTTTTGTCTTGAAAAATTATTGCATATGTTTTACAGACCTTGGGAGAGTAAACCTGATGGCCCTACGGCCATATGGAAAATCTGAAGGAGGTCCAGGGAGGATGAGGAAGGTCAGGGTTCCTGCCTCCCACTTGTGCAAGGGGGTTATTGCTAATGCTTTGCCTTGCCTGGCCATCCGTCTCAAAGTAAGCAAGCAACATTCCAGTTTCAAATTTCAAAAGGAACTGGTGATTTTGAGACCCAGATATCATAGTGAACACTGATTTTTTCGCCAAGAGTGAACATCATCTACCAGAAAGTCAGATAAGTGAAAGTGAGCATCCTGACCAAAACAAAAAAACCAAACCCAAAGGGCAAGGGGGAGGAAGTCTTGCCCAAAACATGTAAGTGTGGTATCTGGTAATTTGTTTTTCTCTCCAAAACAATGGAGACATGAGAGCAGCAAGTACAGCACAAAAGTCATAGTGCAACAGAATGCTCCTGGAGACCCTACCTGCTGCTCTGGGAGTGGGTACATGGCCCTATCCTAGAGGACCTGAGCAGGGTCATCAAAGTGGTGGGAAGTTTCTGAGATGTAGAGAGAAGGTGAGGTTTGGGTTGTGCTTTAACAGCTACCTCCTGAGTTGCCTGGGGGGGTCAGTTTGCACACCTGTATCAGTCTGTACCATGGTCCACATCAGACACTGGTTCTTCAAGCACTTGTCTTGGGTCCAAATGAAGTATTTGAAATCACCACACTCATCACCAGGTCATGTAGCTCAGAGTATGGGTTTAAGAGCCCTCTCCAAAGTCACTCTCTGCAGAAATAACTTTTCTCTTTGACCCAAATTTGTTAAGTGAGTCCAGGGCCACTGAACTGCTTCATAGTTTCACACTAGAGCTTTTCTAATGGTCAGTGGAAGCTTCATGTCCAGCTGCTTTTCACCTTTCCATGTGTATGGATTGCATCTTACTGGGTGTTTATAAAGCTGCTCATTCAGTGAAAATAGAAGTACTCTGTTAATACAGGTTCTGTTGAGTCTGTATGATTGGAAGCAATAAGTAATGATATTCAGTGAATATTCAGTGAATACTCTGCATCCTTAGAGACTGTGTTGTTTAGCACCGAGGACAAAACTTCTGGAGAAAAACAGGCCAGTAAATGTGCACACAAAGTTTTGCAGCACTCTCATTTTAAAGTCATAGTGCTTTTGTAGTCCTTTATCTGCTGCCAGGTCATGTAAGGCTACGCTGGACAAATCCCAGGAAACAACCACTGTCATTTGATATCTCTTAATTCACCATTAAACTCAATTTTTTTCTGTTATATGTTGATGGGGCTTACCTGGGGCAGGACCTTGAGCTGTTGAGCAAACCCAAATCAATCAAGTACTGCCTGTTCCAAACAGCCTGTAGCATAGTTTAAGGCCTCCAGGACTTTGCAAGGAGGAAGAACTGCTCTGGCAAGTTGCTGGCAAATTGCTGGTGCCTATGGAATGGTCTGCTAATATACAGACAGGTGTGGGCAACAAAAAAGTTTGAAGAGCAGGTTCCAAAAAAAACACAACCCAACAACCCCATGAAAGTTTTGAAATGATTTAATCTGAAAAAAAAAATCACTTGAAAGTATTAATTGTAGAATAGAACAGGAGTTAAAATAGTCTAATGCAAATATTGCATAAAAGAACTACACAAGAGGTATAAATTCACAAGGACCACAGAAGAAAAAAATTAATGGAGAGGGAGGAGTGAAGAATAGGTGACCAGAATTTCAGGGCCAACAGTTGTTCCAACCTTCAAATCTTAACTTGGGGGTAAATTTGGATCTGGTGGTACCTGCCAGGGGAAACTCAGCATGGACACATGTTCATAGCCAGAGGAATACTACTTCAGACTGGAGCTTGTCTCCGTACTACTATGTAACTGTCAGTGTAAAGGGGCATTAGTGCAAATAAAAGGGAGTATGTTTAATTTGTCACCTTGCTTCCCATCAGACTAGACTTAGTTATTGTTACTCTAGTCTTTAAATCTATTGTAAACTGAAGGATTGCTTTCTTCCTCTTCCCCTTGCCCCTGTGCTGAATTCTAGTTGCATAGGTGCCTTTTGCCACCTTTCTTTGTCATCCTTTCCTCAGAGTCTTCCTCCTTTGACATCTGCTGTGGGCGTAACATATGCTATCTTTATAGGCCCCTTGTTTCTGGTTTACAAAAATGAGTCTGCTAAAGGCTTTATGACATCTGCCTCAGCATTCTCAGTGTAGTTTTCACAAGCACCCCTTAGTTCAATAACTGTTTTATTGTTCAGTATGTTCTGTACGTTTGTACTTGATGTATAGCAGGTAGCTCAATGAAATTTTAATTATATATACATGTATCTTAATATAATATTTTTCTAGTCTATATTTTTATAATATATAGATATATTTGGGAAGCATTTATTTTGTTTTTCAGACACAGTGTGGGTCATATTTCAACATATTCTCTGCAGGTCTTGGGAATGAGTTAGCAGTGGCAACTGATGCTGTCATATGCAACACAGCAGGGTTTTAAAAAGCAAAGTTGCAGAACTGAGAGAAAGTCATGACATTAACTATTTTGAAGCAGGTACCTATAGAAGGAAGAAGAGAGAGCCCTCTAATCAGCTAGGCCATGGGAGGCAAAAGGGGGAGGAGGGAACATTCCCTCTCTGGGAGGATCCCCCTTCTCAGAGGATGGAGCAAGAGCATCAGAGACATGGCCTGAAAAAAACCCCAGGAAGCAGGAGCCATAGATGTGAACTCCTTCAGTTTTGCTTCTATGTCAAGTGTATAAGCAATTATGGTGTATAAATTTCTTTGCACATAAGATTCAGTTTCAGCTAGAAGGGAAAAAATCCAGGCTATAGATACAACAGTTTTTATTTTTGAAAACAGCTTTCAGCAGGCTATCCCACTGGGAGCAGCCCATAATGACCACTCGTTGCTCAAACCTCTAAACAGCTATCTGCTGCTCCTCTTCCTCATTCACAGGGACCCTTGTGGGAAATAGTTATGATTTTGCAAACTCCTGGGCTCTGCACAGTGAAAACAAACGGTGCAAGAGAGTGCAGACTCCAAGCAACACCTGCAACATTTCATCCGACGCTGCGGAGAAGGTTGGTGCCACGAGATACCACTCTGGTTTCACTCCTCCCCTACCTGAGGCTGCATGTGGTGACTGGTGTCTTATTTACATGCAGTGCTGAGAAAAGAACAGTTTACTCACTAGTTAGTGAATGCAAATCTTCTCTTCTGCTGCACCCTGCCTGTTGTGTTGAGAAAAGAACAGTTTAATCACTAGTTAGTGAATGCAAATCTCTTCTGCTGCACCCTGCCTGTTGTTATTCCATCTAAAACTGTGGTATGTATATACCTTCCTCTTCTTCTCCCCCCCAAAACACAACACTTAAACATCAAACAAATAAAGAAACCAATAGCTCACTTGAGCCTAAAATATAAGTTGCTGCAAGAGAAACTTTCATATTCCTTGGGAAAGGTGTGCTTAAGTGGTGCCTGTAGAATGTGAGGTAGTTAATTCCCTTTCTGATTCTGCCAGCAGGGAAGCAACAGTTGTGAAGCCTCTTCTGGGCATCACCACCACAAATAGTATTTGTGAATGTGTTTCAGTTCATGTAGCTGGGAGTTAGGAGATCAGGGAGATGCTTCAGCCAGGCTATTTTTAACAGAAGAGGTGTTCTCTGGAGGTGTTGCAAAGGCTCTGTGCCACCAGGGTGTTTCCCTTGCCAGGAGGAGGAGGTTCCCTCAGCTGTGCATATAGATAGTAGCTCTGATTTGTTGAAGAAACACAGAACTGCTTGTCTCAGCCAACTCTGTGACTCCCTTTGCTGCATCAACCTTTTTCTTCTCCTCTCTTATGAGTATAAACATGCTCTTTGTTTAGACACAGGGCAGACATGTGCAGATGGTCACCAGCTCAGGAAGGAAAGCAGTTTGAAATATATACTGACTGTGGGTGGTGTTATAGGTTATGACTGTCACAATAAGTTGAGCCTTCATCTGTTGAGGGTTTGCATCTGATCTCATGTACTCTGTTGTAAATCAGAATGGTTTGGTGTCTGCCAGATGTAAATTCATACCAGAGTAACTGAGCCAAAAATTTAGCCAACAGTTTCTTGCTATACAAGTCCTATAGACCAATATTTGTTAAACTAGGCTCAAATAATTTCTCAGGAGTTGTAACACTTCCTGGAACATATCTGCTCCACAGCTACTTTAAGTGCTGGTTTCCTAGTTACCTGGAAGAAGCTAATTAAAACTCGGACAAGCTTGCCAAGTTCTCACTATTTCTACTTCCCCTAAGCTTTGGGATGGGAACGCTTGTAGCAGACGTTCTGCAATTTCAGTGATGCATGCTTGTGCCCCTCAGCACTGCAAACTTGGCTGAGGAAACACAGCGGTGACTTTGGGCTGGAAATCTCCAGTCTATGTTTATTGTTTGAGGCAAGTCAGTGGGCATAGGGCATTTATGTAGGGATCAGGACTGGTTGGACACCCTCCTTGAGTGATGATGGATGGTGCCAGGGGTGTGACCAAAGTGTGAGAGGTATCAACCTAGCTGAGGTATCTTTTGAGGGATAAAACTGTGTTTAAACCTGGTTAGAGTTCTAGACCAGGGCTACTACTTGTAACTGGTTGTGGCTGCTGGAATTTTATCTGTTCAGGAAAGTTTAATGTTTAGAAAATGTCAACATTGCAACAGAGGGCAGGGAGTGGCATGCAGAGTGAAGTCCTCTCTGATGGGTAGATTGCAACTAATGTGAGTTTTATACAGCTCACGTTAAATATTGATGCTTTGTGGGATAAAGTTTGCTCTCCCACAAACTGGGTGAAATTATCTTCTCTCTCGTGTGAGTTCATGGGCTCGCAGCATTTAACATTGGCTTAATTTATTCACTGTGCAAGAATAAACAGTGCTATTAATAGAAGTCCAGGCAAATGAGTGCCTGCTGAAGAATGTGGGCTTTTTAATAGCGTGCTTTGTTTGCTTGCTTCAGCTTTGGGAATGTAAATCTCCTCTGTCTCCCAGCCTCCCTCTCTGCCAGGAGTTCAGCTGCTAGGTGAGGGAAACAACAGCTTTGGTTCAGTGCACCCCTCCCGTCCCCCCTCTTGGAGGAAAATCATAGCAAACACAGGCAAACTCATGTTCTTGAAGGAAGAGCTCTTGTCTTGATTAATGGCTCCACATTATCAGCTGAAGGCCTTGACCCAGCTCATGCTCCTACCCTGCTGTTGCTCTGGGCCTCTCCCCTGCCCTCCACCTCCAAAACACATACACACTGACACGTTTGGCTGCTGCTCTGCCTGGAGATATGATTTCTTCTCGGACAACGTGCTCCCCTCCTAGGGCTGGAGGCAGCTTGGCATCTACATGGTGCCTTGCCTCATGACCCAGAAATCACAACAAACTGGGTAGTGCTGGAGGGAGTGAGTTACTGCCTCCTCCCTGCCATGCCCTGCCCTCTCTGGCTACTGTTTAAATAGTTACCAAACAGAAAGAGCTTCTCTGTGTTGTCTAATCAATTTTTTCACCACTCTGATACGATGATTTAGGCTACCTGTTGAAGGAAAGACTGCAGTCTAATAGCCTTTCAGATGACTAACAGGATGGGTAACGTGGATCTTGAAGTATAAAATCTAGTGACATGGATAACAGCAGCAATGAGTCAGCCTTGAAAGCAAAAATATACATTTTAAAGCATTACAGTTGATTTATGTGTTCTTAGACGTTACCTTCATTTTCTAGATTTCACATCTAATAGAAATGGTGCATGGAAGCTACAGTTCATTGTATTCTTTCTTTTTTTCCCCTTATTCGGAAACTATACCTATACAACAGATATGAAAATGACTGAAATTAGAATTCAACTAATTTCTGCTTTTGCTGAAATTCAGCTTTTGCAGGGATTGGTAAAAAATAGTCCCACTCTTATCCCAGGGAGTACTTCCATATACAATAGAGAAATAGCTTTTTTCTCCAGATATGGGAGCAACTGAGAGACATTTTCAACTTTTGGATTGTAATTTGTAATGGTAGAGGCCACAAACAGATCCAGCAAAGACATGGGCATGCAACACTAATACATTTCAGGGGTGAAAATGAGGCCCACTATATCTTAATAATCCCATTTTATTCCCTTAATGACCTGGAGAAACACTTCCATGTATCTGTATGCCATAGGGTTTAAATTGAAGGGAAGGAGAGGGCGTCTCTGCTTTCTTCTGTTACTTTTTAGATTATATCTCTTTAATGGCAATTGTTAAGCAACAAACAAATGCAGCTCATGCAGTAGCAGAAGGCAATGCCCAGAAATTGGAAGAATGTACAAAATTCCACCTACAGCTCTGTGTGGTGGGACTGGGGCAGAAAGAAGGTCAGCAAGTTTGTGGTTGCTAAGTTATTGTCAGTGCCAGGACACCACTAACCCATTTAAAGAAACACTTAAAATAGAACTCATGCAGAAGTCAAGGGAGAAGATTCAAGACCTTCACCTATATTTTGGATACTGCAGTCAGCTCTATTGGTTTTAATTGGTTTTAATCTCATGATCAGCTGCACTCCAAGCATTGTTTCAGCCTGTTTGAGCCTGAGACTCCCTGGTCTGTTGGTTTTAGATATTTATCTGTGTGGGCTCACTTCCAGGACTGCTGCTCTATGAACAGGAACACTACAGCAGTGAGTGAGATTTCCAGTATTGGGTACTCACCATGTATGTGCATTGTCCCCTAAGCTAAAGAACAAGGACCTCTCTTAGTTCAGCCTGACCATTGAGTTTTAAAGGGAAAAAAAAAGGAGAGAAAATAAAAATAATTTGCAGAATGGTTGAAGTTGGAAGGGACCATTGGAGGCCATATAGTCCAACCTCCTGCTTGCAATAGGGCTGTCCTAGGTCAGGTTGCTCAGGTCCTTGTCCACTCACATGCCCTATATCTCCAAGGGTGGTGCCTCTCTGAAGCCTTGTTCCACTCTCTGACCTCTCTCACTGTGAAAATACTTTTTGGTGGGGGGTTTATCTATTTGGATTCACTCATATTTCAGCTTGCATCCATAAATTCATCCCAGTAATTAAGTTATGACTAAAATTTCAGCTATAATTTATTCTATAAAGTCACTGGAAAATCTAAAGGAGTTGAAATGATGACAAAAGCTTTACATAGCGAAAGTGAACTGTTTGTTGCTTTCTAAAATATATAACTTAGTTTCTTGATACTCAGCTAGAGCTCAGTCATTAGGTACGTTATTATGGACAAAGATGAAGACCAAATAACACTACAGGAAAAAATAAAAAGAGTTCAATGTTTCAATTTTTTGTGTGTGTGTAGAATCTCCTTTATTTTTAAAGTCATGTTCCCATCTAACATTTACTGGTATGTAATAAGCATGGTCATAAAAGATTTTTTCTACTAGTTTAACTTGGTTTCTTAATACTCAGCTAGAGCTCAGTCATTAGGTATGTTATTATGGACAAAGATGAAGATCAAATAACACTATGGGAAAAAAGTAAAAAGAGAGTTCAATGGTTCAATTTTTTTGTGTGTTTGTAGAATCTCCTTTATTTTTAAAGTCACTGGAAAATCTAAAGGAGTTTAAATGATGACAAAAGCTTTACATAGGGAAAGTGAACTGTTTGTTGCTTTCTAAAATATATAACTTAGTTTCTTGATACTCAGCTAGAGCTCAGTCATTAGGTACGTTATTATGGACAAAGATGAAGACCAAATAACACTACAGGAAAAAATAAAAAGAGTTCAATGTTTCAATTTTTTGTGTGTGTGTAGAATCTCCTTTATTTTTAAAGTCATGTTCCCATCTAACATTTACTGGTATGTAATAAGCATGGTCATAAAAGATTTTTTTCTATTAGTTTTACTATTTAGTGGAATATAAAGTGTTTGGATTCTATTGCAACTTAACAATTGAGTTTTATTACCTTTTTTAATGTGGCTATTACCTTATTAAGAAAACTTATTGACACAGCCCCTAAATGGGCTTATTGCATATACTGGTTTTCTGTTGCACGTGATAGTACCTGGATCAAGGCTTTGATCCAGCAGTTGCTGCACTGCTCCTCCTCTGAGTTGCTCTGAGCTCACTTTTGGATTTATCAGTTTCATCTTGAAGCTCTGCTTTAATAGCTTTTTGGCTGCTTCTGTAGTTACTTCCACCCTTAGGGCACTTTTTCAGCTTTCTCGTACTTATGTGTAGTCTTAGAGCAGCACCAACCACCATTTGTGCAGTTCCTGCTCCCTTCCTTCTATTTTTTTTTCTATTTTTTGTTCAGCATGGTGGCTGCTATCTGGCCATCAGAATTATTCCAGATTAGAGCTGATTTTCTGGAGGACAATCACATTCAACTCTCTAAAAGGCACTGTGTTAGCTTTGCTTTAAGTTCCCCCAGGCCTTTTTCAGAAAGCTCAAAACCTCTTTGTGTGTGTGGTTGTTCACTGAGCACTTTGCTAAACTCTGAATATATTCCTGATGGGCCAGACGTTTCTGAACGGTTTGTTTTCATAAGCAAGAAATTGTCTCTCAGTTCAGACTTGTATTAGCTTTAGCTGATCACCTGGACAAAACACCCTTTAGCAAAAAAACATCTTTCCTACTCAGCAGTTTTACTATACAGGTATACCACCTGCCCTTTAGAGAAGACATCTGGATGCCTGCTGGACTCTTTGGGGTTTTTCTCTCCAGTTTTCAACTCACAAAAAAATGAAAACATGGCAACTTTTCTTCTCTCTTTTTTCTTTCATTTATTTTTTTTTTATTTTTTAGTACAGCAGCTTCTCTGTGCTGTGACCTCAGGTCCTTGTTAAGGTATTTGGGAGTAATGCATTGTTACTGGGAATACTCTGAAGAACATGACAACACCCCTTATGTATAACACCTGAAATACATCTAGTTATATAAAACACTGACAGATAAGTAGAAAAATGTTACTCTCCAACTGTTTTTGCTAGGCTTGTATCAGAAAACAGTTTTTCCACTTACCTAAACTCACTGTCATTCTTTCACTGAGGACCTCAGTTTTATTGAACTGTGAAATAATGCATACATAAAAGTCTGGTTTGTAGCCTTCTTTGGAGAATTTAGCCATAAACTAAGTTTTCCTTAGGTCTTGTTTCATGTACATCTGAGTTTCACCTTGGCTTCCTGCTGTCTGAAAGGAGAGGTCTTGGTATCCTCCCTCTCACTGTGCAGTCTCCTTACACAAGCTGTCACAATGCTCATTTAACTCATGAGAAGAGCAGAACAAATTGCTTTTATTCTCTGGCTTTCCCTTCCCTTCTCTTTCTGCCATTTATCTGAGTTAAACTGACCTGTCATGCATTGGACAAGCCAGCAGGAGCAACAGGAACATGTGGCCAGAAGGGGGAAATGAATTTGATTCCTTGGATTCCAGTCAGATTTGACCTTTCATTTATTATCCTAAAGATGGTCTGGTCATTTTTCTTCCCACATACCTCAATTGTAAATTCCTCTCCCTAGCTGTGCATGTCTTCCTGGTTCTCCAGACAACATCTGATTCTTTACAGGGTGGGAAGCAGCTCTTTGCTTCCCTCCATTTGCTGGCTGATTGACTGACATGTTTCTGCATGAAACATCTCTTGTATCCTTCCATTTTATAATAATTAGTGTACTAATGTACCTCTGTGTATATACAAATGTGGTGAATAAATAGATGTAGCTCACCACTAGCTCTTGACTGTGGTGTTATTTAACTACATGATAGTGCCAAATAATATTAGTGTTGTTAAATAAAAATATGGTTAAGAGTGTGTTTGGAAAAGTTGAATTTTATTCCTCCTTCTTGACACCACAGTAACTTGTTTTATTCCTTTTCCTCTCTTCCTTTCTACCTTTTTGTCTTTCAGGATGTCATGGAAACCTGCCAGCTGCTACAAACGTCTTTGATCTTCTCCCGGTGCCACCATCGAGTTGATCCAGAGCCATACATCAACCTCTGTGAAAGAGACATCTGCCTCTGTACCCAGGGCATGGACTGTCACTGCTCGGTGTTCCTTGATTATGCAAGAAGCTGTGCTCATGAAGGAGTGGTTTTGGATGGGTGGCCCGAGGAGACCTCATGCAGTAAGCTCACAGGATTGTTCCTAGGCTCTTATCCCAAGTGAGATCATGACTATCTTGCAGATCCACGTGCTGCAGTTAAAAGCAATGGGTGCTTTTTTAGGCTGGTGACTTGGGTGGATTCAAGCACAGCAGGTTAAAACCTGAAATGCCTGTCACTTCTATTTATCTGAAGTGCCTTTTCTTCAATTCCCCTTTCAGCTTTCTATCACTCACCTTTTCCTAGAAGTTATCATCTCTAAGGGAGGATTGTTTGAACCATATATGAAAAAGATCTGGAACTGTTACAGATCCCACCATGGTGTACAAAGTCAGTGAAGACTTATTTGATACACAAAGCAATAGACTAGGATGTTTATGAGCTATTTCGGATATAGTTTGGATGTGTCATTTTACCCAGCCTCTACCTGTAAGTCAGCATGCTTGTGGAAGGCTCTTCTTAACATTTTTTTTTGTAAAGACAATTGTTTTGTCTTTTATTTGCTTGAACCAATTACAATGAAGTTGAGATGTTGCCTTTTTAAAGGCAGATTTTTATCTAGGTTAGAGATCCTGATTGCATCTTGAAATGCTGCTTTGTTAGCCCAATTTTGCTGAAGTTGGAGGTCCTGACTGCATCTCTGCTAAGGTTTTGCAGCAGGGAAGTGTGTAGATTGACTGGGATGGATTGCACTTATAGAGGAAATGTGTTTGCATCCACCACTGATATAGAGATATACCTCCACTGGAGAGCCATGGTTAAATACATAAGCACACAAATGAATAAAAAAATAAATCCTCTAATATCATGTTTTCAATTCTTTTTATCCTGTTTTTACATTACACAGGAAAGACAGTTTTCTCAGGATGCTATATAAATTGATTTCGTGCGGTAACTGATTTATGCTAACATTTTCTTCTCTGGTAAAGATATTCTGCTATTGGCTACTGCCAAAGAAAACGGTGCCTTCAAATTATAGTTAGGGCAGGAAGACACTGCCAGCCACTTGATCAAGGGGTTGTACACTAGAAGAGAGTCTTATTTCTAGTAGCAATTTTTTGCCTTTCCATTGGAAAGAGATCTGAGATAAACTAGTTTCCTTGCTCAGGGTGCAAGCCAGAGAACCCCTTTTTTTCTAGGCTGTCTGTAAATCTAATTAAAGCTATGGGTGAAATGAACCCCTCCTTGTTCCCAGGAATTTTAGAGTTAATTTCTAACCCTTCATTTCACAAACCAATTTTTTTTTTTTTCCTGAGTCAGGAAAAAGAGAGGTAGCTTGGTACCAGATCAGGAGCTTAATCTTCCCTCACCCTTCAGCTGTTCTGTGGTGCTTTCTCAGGAGATGATGATGATGATGGTTGCACTGGAGGCATGAAACACTCTGCTCTGTGGGATGGGCTCTAGTGCTGGGCACACTGTGCTAGTATGAGCTGGTGGCCAAGCCCTGGAGGCACAGAGGGCAAGGCTGCTCCTTCATTACCCTCCCACCTCCTTCAATAGAGGATTTGCTGGGAAAGGGCAGGCTCTAATCTTTTCTTCCTACTCCATGCCCACACAGTCCTGTGGGGTATGTCTGTGCAGCAAACTGAAGGAATGGCTATAGTGTGTGCTTGCACAATGGCCTAGCCTACATAATGACAGCAGTGAAGATACCACAGCAGAAATGTTTTCCCGTGATGACAGTTCTCTGGAAGAGGAAGGGTTGGGATTTCAGAGTCCTAACTGTCACCCAGTTCTCTCTGGAAACACAATACAGTATCATTTCACAAATGAGTGGAGTCACTGCATAGTTTAAGGGTACAGAACATGCTTGTCTACCTAAATTACTTATTGCAAAACCTCTCTCTGTGTTTGATTGTTCTTAATGCACTTGGTTTTAGTTATCAAGACTCAACTTACTAGAAAAGAAATCAGCCTTAACCTCTGTTTGCTACCCAGCCTGACAGATGATGATATTGAAGGAACTGAAAATAAAGTGTTGCTTCAATGTCCTTTATTTAAGATTATTGAGGATTTTACATTTTTTATGTCTTTTAATTGTTTCAGGGCCAAGATGTCCTGTTGGCATGGAGTATAAGGAATGTGCATCCCCTTGTGCCAAAACCTGCCAGAGCCTGAATATCAATGAAGTGTGTCATGGACAATGTGTCGATGGCTGCAGCTGCCCTGGTAATTTGTTTGCTGGGTTATTTATAGAGAAACATTTGGCAGTGATGATACCTATTTTCTTAGAAGAAGGAAAGCTGTGTCTTCCCTTAAATTTTCCTGAAATCATAAAGACTTCTCTTGTCTGGGATCATGCCCCAGAATAAGTCACTTTCTATAATGCCTGTATGCTCACTCTGTTAAAGAGCCATTTTTCAGACCCAGCTAAAAATGAAATGTTTCTGTGAAAATCAGCACCCTCTAACACTCTAGGATTGCCTTTCTTTCTTAGTGAGGGACTGCTTACCACTGACATATCTAGATTCCTTCCGAATTGCTTTTGGTTAGGAGCATCCAGCTAGAGGAAGAACAGAATATACCGAAGGAGTTTATTACAGAAAAACAGTGCAGAAGAGCTCACACTATAGTCCCAAAGATCTTCATGATTTTAGATGGATGAATTTCACTTACTATTGATTCATACGTACAGGAGACCTGATTGGTTTAAAGGGCACCTCAACCACCAGAGTCTTCCTCCTCTGTCTATTGCCCTTGAGTTTTCAGTAAGGTTATCTCTGCATTTCACCCTTCAAATCTAGATTTTATGTGAATGCACAGAGGTGTTTACTGCCCTGCTGTACAAGATACCAAGCGTGAAGGAGGTTTCCTATGAACATAATTTGGTTTCCAAAACAAGCCAGTGATGACCATGTCAGCCTTGTCTGAGGGTGGTGTTGCATTCAGAGCTTGGTGGTTTCCCATTTAGCTGCCAGTCTCTTACTGGAAGTTCAAAGCTGTCACTCTGTGGCAGGACCTGGAAAGGTGCACATGGAGGGTGACAGGTGATGCAGGCAGACACAAGAGTTTATCTTGTTGTGAAGGATCTAGCTATTATGTTTGTGCAGTCCTGGGGGTGTTGGGAAAAGCTGAAGAAGATGAATCCACTCGCTTCTAAAGAACTCTTGCTATGTTCTTTTAGTAGCTGCACTGGTCAGTTCAGCACAGGAGAGGTCTAACAAGTCAGGAACTGAAGAATAGAGGAACGGGATCTCAACAGAAAGGGTACTACATGAGGAGCAAGTAGATTGGTAGAAGGAACTACATGAAAAGAAATAACAATCAGCAATTCAAAATCAACAGTTTTCTGTTATTTGGTGCACAGTCAACAGGGAAGAGTCAAGTTTCATAAAGAACCAGGATAATGTGACAGAGGAATAGAGGAATTTGGGATTTAGGGTGAGGATTACACCTTCACTTCCCTCCAGTGCTCCAAGAGTTTCTGTCACTTAACTTCCCTCCAGTGCTCCAAGAGTTTCTTTCTCCTTTCCTTAAAGGCATTGCATACTTCCTTTAACTGCTTTAAATGGAATTACTCTTGCCAGGGAAAAAGGCAGACATTTGGGTTTTTTGTGCTCTCTGGAGAGCCACACTACTTAAATGCTCAGATCTTGGTTTTGAGTATCTCTCACTGGAAGGATTTTCTCAATAGCAAAGAACTTTCCAGGCAGAAATGGAAAGAATAGGAGAAAGAGAACTTACCTGTATCTCCCTGTCAGTGGTGACTACTGCTGCCAGAGAAAAGGGCTGAAATCTCTGCAGGCAATTGGAAGGAGTCCCTCAAAGAAGAGGGACAGAGGCTTCCAGCAAATAAAATTTTGCTGTAGCAGGTCTTTTAAAAATGGAGGAATAGCAACTCTCTCTCCACTTGGGGATCCAAGAGAAAAAAAACCTTGTCCTTTCTTCTCTTACTAGCTTATAGTGCAATATTAAACAAGTCTTGTAACTCCTCTGTGCCTCTGTTTATCTTTGTAAGGTAAAACCCTCTACATGTGGAGTTGGTAATTATAGTTCTGTAATGTGGGAACCTCAGCAGCTGGATCCAAGTTGGAAATTGGCCCTTTCACTTTTTGCTCCTGCAGAAGATAAGAGAAACCACAGTTCCACAGAATAATGCTTCTTTCTCTCAGATCCTGTTTGCCAGACTTTTATGGTGCTCAGCTTTGTTTCTTCATTCCTAACTTTGTCTTCTCTTCTGACCTCTTTACAAAAACTGTAAAACCTGTCTGGACACCCTTCACTGCAGTCAGTGAAATGCACGTATTTTCCTGACTGTCAGGTTTCCAAACCAGCTCTGATCAACCTTGATCATGCTCCCTGTGTTTGTCTTATGTGTGTTCCAGAATTTTTGCTTTGGAAACAGGGACTCTCTAAGCAAAGAGCTCTTCTAAGAGCATCAGAAATGCTCTGTTCAGCACATCTGAGGGAGGGGCAGCACCAGAAAGAAAACAGACACCAGCCCCCGTTAGACTTTTTGGCAAGCCTCATTCTTTTTCATTGCTGTCTGTGACTATGGATAATGCATATGAAGTCTCAGCAAAGTATATGGAGTACTAGAGAATCTAATCATATTTATGTTTGTGTCCCTGTGTGTGTGTGACATATGTATCTGCTGCTACCTGATCTATTCCAGAGGGGAAGCTCCTTGATGGTGAAGACTGCATTGAAAGCTCCGACTGCTCCTGCGTCCACTCTGGAAGACATTATCCTCCTGGCTTCACCATCTCTCAGGATTGCAACTCATGGTAAACCCTGTGTTGCTCTGGTGTGGTTGCTGTTGCTCTAGATAAGTACTGGACACTGGTTAGTAACTGGTTTAGATGGTCTTTCTAGAAATCTCTCTCCTTTTTAAAAATTGCCCTTTCATGGACAAAGGACCCACTCTCTTATTGGAAATGCCAGCCCCTTCCAAGAAGCAAACTCTTCCAAGAATCAGCTCTGCTTTTAAAAGGATATTTGATCTGATGGAACAATGTGAAGGTCACACTCCTTCAAACAGTAGAGAACTACCTGTTTCCTGTGGATAAGACAGACCGGCAGGTTCCCATGCGTGGTTAGTGTCAGTGGTGGCGTCTTTGTTTTGACTTCCTACATTTACTTAACCTCTAAACCCCATTTCTTTCCAAGAGAAGTTAGCTTGGAACTTCTTGCAGGGGTAATGAATCTTTCCAGCTGCATGGCTCACGATTTTTCTTTCACTTTTGGATGCCAGCCTGAATGGGAAGGTCAGCTGCCTAAGGAAAGGAAGGGCAATGAGTAATGTATCATCTGGCTTTATGTAAGCATGAACATATTTGTAGAAGGAGTTCTGACAAATCTGTATGCAGATGTTTCCCATTTGAGTACAGAAGGAGGACTCATTGACAACCACCATATGCAGAAGGAATGGTCTATGCATCGTCACTGTTACTCAGAAGTTTTTAATTGCCTGCACCCTGTGTCACAGAATATGAACCATAACTACATCGTTAGCATTTTGCCTC